ACCAGGTCCACAGTGGAGGTAAAGAAACAAGATCCACTGGGAGAAAGTGAAACTATTTAAGTGTGGAAAAGATCACCCAAAGAATATGTGCAAATTTGTGAGTTATGGATGGAATTAGGGATAGGTGAAAAAATAGGAACCCAAGAGAGAGATGAGGAGATCCTAGAAAAAAAGATGTAATTGAAGCAAGAGTATGTCAAAGGTCAGGAAGGAGGTGGTGATTGATTGATGAAATGACACTGGAAGATACAATAAGAATTAAAAACCTGTCCATTGGATTTGGCAATTAGGGAGTCATTGATAGTATTCAAGTGTTCTTTGAATAAATATTTGTTGAGCACAGGTTTTGTGTTAATAAAATAATAATATGTGTATAATCTGGGCCCTTGTGTATATTTCAGACTAGGAGGGTAGAAGGTTTGAGAGAAGGGATACAGATAATTAAAGAGTTTTAACACATAGAGTAAGAAATGCCGTGACAAAACTAGTACAGAGTATTTTTCAATTCATGGATTCAGTGCATGAATATGCTGTGCTTGGAATGCTCTCCCTACCTCTAAAACCCTTTCACAGTTAGCTGCTATTCATCCTTTGTTTCTCAGACCGAATGTCACTTAGGGAAACCTCTTTTGACCCTCAAACTAGATCAAACTCTTCTATTAAGTACTCTTCATACCTTGTACTTTTTCTTCATAGCGCTTATCATAGCTTATGAGCATATATTTATTTGTACAATTAATTAATGTCTGTCTATACCCCAGCACAAACAGCTAAGTGCTCGACTGCTAAGGGAAAGGTTGGCAGTTCGAACCCACCCTATGGCTCCATAGGAGAAAGGCCTCTAGATCGGCTTTCATAAATGTTATAGCCAAGAAAATCCTGTGGGGGCAGTTCTACTGTCACATGGGGTCTCTATGAGTCGAAAATGACTGAACAGCACCTAACAACAACAATACCCTAGACTATAAGCTCCTTAAGAGCAGAAATCATATCCGATTTTATTGATAAAACAATATTTGTTGAATGAATGAATAAATGATTCCTGGAGAAAGACAAGTGATATGGATGTTTCACTAACATAGGATTATAGTCAGCAGAGGAGGAATGAAGAGGTGATTACATATATGGTTTATATGGTTAATCTCTTATTACAGGTCTTGGTTTGTTCTGTGAAGAATATCATAAGCACAGAAATGGCCTGGTGGGTCATTTCTGCCTACTACAATGTGGACTTTATATATCAAACTCTTACTGAGAAATATCTGGCATACTCTGAACATTTGATCTCACAACATAGTATGAAAAGGTATAAGTAATATTTGGTGTATAAATGTTCAACTCCTTAAGTATCAGCCATGTTTATTTGTTAGAGGTGGAGAGAAGAAACCCTCTGAGTACTAACAGATCAAATGGCATTTGTAGTTTATGAGCAGTCAATTGGATCTAATGGATTAGGAATACCTAGTCTGTCCTGGATTGTCTGCATTTTTGAAGCAAAATCAGAATTTCGACAATTGTTATCGCCAGTTGGGTGATTAATTTGTTTTTTTAGCAGAGCTATAAATTGATGAAAGTTTTGAAGCCATAATAAAAAATAAAAACAGCTTTACTGAATTAAAAACTGAATTGTATATAACTGTAATTTAAACCTGCTTATAATGCTCTATTTTTTAAAAGGAGCCCTGGTGGTGCAGTAGTTAAGCATTTAGCTGCTAACCAAAAGGTCGGCAGTTCAAATCCACCAGCCACTCCTTGGAAACCCTGTTGGTTAGTTCTACTCTGTCTGCCCTATAGGGTCACCATGAGTCGGAATCAACTCGACCGCAATGAGTTTGTTTTTTTTTTTGTAGTTAAAAAACCAAGGATGGTATTTTCAAAGTGTGTTCTTTAAAGATAGACCCCGTAGGACAGAGTAGAACTGCCCCAAATGGTTTCCAAGGGGCAGCTGGTGGATTTGAACTGCCGACCTTTTGGTTAGCAGTCATAGCACTTACCCACTGCGGCACCGGGGCTCCAAAGATAAGTTAGGGAGTTGAAATAACATATGAAATTTATTATCCCCTGGGTATTAGAAGTTCAAAATTACATCTTGCTTAGCAAATGTAAAAAGTTATGTTTTCTGTTGCACATTAATTTCCAGTGTGTCAATTCATTTCTTGTTAGTATCAAATGATAAAATATTTATATACAATCAAAATATATCAGCAGTAGTATTAAACGAAGCACCATGTACTTGACAGTTTAGAAAATTGTGAAACCGTCTTTCTATGATTAAATCTTTTCCTTTATGTATGTAAAATGTTCAAATAAATCTATAAAACCACATACTTCTGCAGTGTACAAGGTTAATATACCCATTATCAGAGCTTAGAATTTTATCACTTTCTGTGCAGAACCATGGGTCTCTACGAGTCAGAATCAACTTGACTGCAATGGGTTTGGTGCAGAAATATGATTGAACCAACAATATATTAGGTACCTGTTGTGCTCAGAATATTAAATTAGGAATAAGGAGAGACTGTTAAAAGAGAGACTAGAAATTGCAGTCTTCATTATTTAAATGAAATAAATACGATTGTAGAGTCCATGAAGCAATATTACAAGGAGATATTAAATGACAGTGAAAACTGTACATGAAATTTTGAGGCAGATGAGCTGTCAGTGATGAGTTTAACTTACTAGAATAAGTTTCCTGTAGGAAAAAGTTTTGATGTCATTTTGAAGTAAGGAAAATATGAATTGGCCCAGAGAGTGGCAAAAGCAATCCCAAAGACTCGTGTATGCTTTGTACAGGGATATCAGGCATGCCCGTCTGACTTTCACAAGTATTTTGCTATTAGCAGAAAATACAATTGACCTTCTGGCTTTACCTTAAGTTTATAATAAGAGGCTACTTAGCATACTAAAGAGATAGGCATGCATCAGAATCCTTTTTCCACTCATTCACTAGAGCTGTCACTTGAGCGGCTTACTTTTCTAAGCTCTGGTTGTGAATAAGAGTGCCAATCTCATAGTACGGTTCTGAAGCTTAGACGTGTTAATCTGTGTACAATGCTTCACACATAATAGGCTTTAAACAAATATTAGTCCTCTTCCCTTTATAGGTCCCACCTGTGACACTGCCATGTTAGCAGAAAATGTATTAGGCTTCATGATCTCCATTTTAAGATCAAGAAACTTATAGTCTAAATCTTGAATGTTAGTGATGAAATACGACTTTGTTTCAGGTGCTCAGCACTTGTCTTCCAGCATGTTTTCTCTGAGTGTTCAGGTGGTTTAAAGAAGGATCAGAAATGATTTAAGGGTCTAGTAAGGGCTTTGTCCTGTTATTCCTTAACGCCATCTACTGTACTAAATGGATATGGCCACAGAAATCACTGAGAAACAGGCAAAACAGAGGAGAAATGCTGGACTAGGGATGGATTTACTAGGAAGTTAATGAGTTTAAGCCTAGGAAACTCTCATCTGCACAGGCCCCCTTCTTAGGCCTTGCACCTAATATATATTTGTAATTTACATTTATTTCCTAAAAGAGGGCCTTTCAAATCTCAAATCAGATAAGATTTAGGCCCCACAAAACCTAGATCCACTCTGACTAGACTGTCATGTAAAAGAAAAAAAACTAAATATGATTTAAAAAGGATGAGGTCACCACAGCAGGAAAAGTAAGTTTTGCTTCTATTGACCAAATGATGATTTGTTAGTAAACCTTGAGCACAGATGCCCATATGCCCTTGACCAGAAACTGCTGCTGTTGTTGAGTGCTGTTGAGTCAGTTCTGCCTCATAGCAACCTCATGTTTAGCCTTTGCCTATCTAGGAAGGCTCTGCTCTCCAGCTGGCATCAGCCTAACAATGACTAACAGGAAGAAGTAAGGAGAAGGGGGACCCCCAGCAATCAAAGGGATTGCAGTTACATTATCTATACATTTGATTCCTCACATTTTTAGGTGGGTAAAGAGGAGAGTAGATGGGACCCAACATATTGAGCTGAGGTAAGAGTGAGGGAGGTATAACTTGAATGTAGTCGGTCCCTGCTCTATAGTGAAAAGGGAGGACTGTTTTTAGGTAATCCTGTTTAATGCATTGCATTAATCACATTGAGAGAGGCAGTGTAACCAAAGTTATTTTGTGTTGAAATAATTTTTAAGTTCTTTTTAATAATTATTCACCTAAGAAAAAATATATATACACATACTGGAGTGAAAGATGGCTCCAGTTTGTGTGCAGTGTCCATGAAGATTCTGAGTCCAGGACCCAGTTATATCTGAAGGAATAACATCCTAATTATAACATGGTCTCAGCGTTTGTGATAGTAACCACCCCATTGGGTATATGATGGACTGTCAAAGAATAAAATCCTTTTTGCATTAAAGGTGAAGCTATATTTACACGTAACTTGACTGTAATAATAGCGGAAGGTGTTTGGTTGCATAGATGGCATTGTACTGTCTTTTAAACGTATTTACAAGTCAAATGAGTTGGAAACTAAAATGGTATTTCAATGCACTTATGTATGCTATTGTTCTCTTCTGCCGAGAGAGGTATTTTCCTTGATATTTTTTCACGAAAAGTTTTACATAATCCCTTCTTTCAAGGAATATTCTTCATCTGTTATTGCCGAAGTCACCTCATTCTTGCTGATCACAACATAATCAAAATTTACTTTCACAGCATTTTAAATTGCTTCCTAACCACTGAGTTGGATGTGTGTCTGGAAAGATAAGTGAGTTTTCTTTCAGATTTGTTTGTTTATGTATTGGTCAAAATAAGCCAACAGCTTGAGTACCTAAAATGTTTCCCAGCTTTGAACACGTGGAAGTATTTTGCACAAATACAGTCTTAAAGAGTATGATTATAAGCAAATTGACAGCCTCAGGAATGCTCAGTAAGGATTTTATTTTGATGAAACTTGTTAAGTGTTACTCCACAAACTTTGCCTGATTTTACTTTTAAACATTTTATAACCTTTCCTTCTCTTTCCCTCTTTCACTGATACAGATCCACATCCAGAGAACTGAAGGATGTGACCATATGACTTGTTCACAGTGCAACACTAATTTTTGTTATCGATGTGGGGAGAGATACCGCCAGCTTCGTTTCTTTGGAGACCACACATCAAACCTCAGTATATTTGGATGCAAATACCGCTACCTCCCAGAGAGACCTCATTTAAGGAGATTAGTTCGAGGGTCAGTCTGTGGTGAGTATCTGACATGATTTATAGCAGTCTCCCCTGGGAAATAAGTAGTGTTAATAGAATTTAGAAATGTAATGGCCATGATAATTCTGAACACTTGCTATGTGCCAGGTAAGGTCTTCACCCAAAGACAGGAAGATGATAATTTCTCTCCCTTTGAGATCAAAATGAAAAACTGCTATTTATTAGCAGAACAACTACTTATATGAGCAACCAGATTTTGTTCTCTGAAAAACACATTGTTAATTACACTGTAAAAATCTTAAGTCATTAGTCATTTAAAGTTTTGAAACCCTATTGTAACCCACTTGACGAGAGGGACAATATCACATTTATTTCTGTACGAACAGTACACAGCAGAGTGTCTTATATATGTCCTCTGCTCATGGACGATGCTCAGTACAATACAGCATGGGGCATGGCCTAGAAAGGCAACATGTTTCGGAGTCCCTGTAGCCAAGTTCCATTGTAGGTACATAACTGATAGGTCATTGTATATATTTTTGTACTATATTAATAATTAATATTTAACAGTTAATGGAATGAATATCGAATGTCCTCATTGCATACAAACGTGAATTTAAATATCCAAGTGTAACTGTGTTTGTGGATTGATTCTTCCCCCCCGCCATTCTTCCTTAACAACACATAGTATCACCACCCTCCCATCCTACACATGAACACAGATATAGAAACATAAACTCAGATATCTGCTTGTAATCATATTGCTCTGGCCTAGTGCCACCACCTTTGAGTGATGCAGTCTTTCTCATTTGTATGCAGTACTTTTTAACATCTTCCACATTTTTCTCTATATTTTTTTGCCTTGTTACTTCATGAAAATCTCTTTGTGTCTCTCCTTACTCTCCTCCCCCAGTTCATTATTTTTTTTTGAATCCTCTCTCCACCCCCTGAAAAGTCATATCATGGCTGATTAGACCAAAGCTGGTGCTAATGATAAATTTATATTAGGTAAAAAATAGTACATATATTTTTTGGCATATGGAAATCAGTGCCCTCAATTTCTAAAATCTTACATCACCGAGCTTTAATTAAACAAAGTTTTCCACAGTCAGCAACATTCAATATAGTCAAGACTATTTTTAATGGTTTTCATCGTTTTTCTGATTCTTTGTTTGTAGGCATATAATTATATAACCAATATTTACTTACTGGGTAAATAAACTTTGGAGGGAGAGCTAAGGAATCTCACCTCTATTTATAACATTACTACCATAAGAAAACTAATTACAAATTAAGCTTTGAACTGCCAGTTTATATATACAGAGAGCAACCCCAAAACACAAAATCCGTATATTTTCTGCAGTGTGAGTTCTTTTCTTTCCTACTTTCAGTGCCATTTTGTTGTGGCAAGATATTTCCTTCTGTTCTTTAGTTTAAGTAATCTTTGATTAGACTACTCTTTTTTTTTTTCTTTCCTTTTTTGTCTGTCTGTTTAGTCATCCTTGAATTAATGAAGTTATTTCCTGCCCTATTTGCCCAATAATATTATGGATGCATTCTCTTTTGACCCTCTCAGTAATTACCTAGATGCCACTAGAATCCTCCTCTTGTGTCATCAAATGGAGTTGGATTATTTAGCAGTCTGTAGAACAGCCCCATGGATATTGTCAACAAGAAAATCTTATCTCCGTACAGTCTTTTCTGTTTTCTTTTTATTTGAAAGCTTTAAGGTCAGTTTTCTGTGAATGATTTTTGACCTGTTTCTACTCCACTGTGTATATGCATGTGCATACATACAACCAGGTCAGAATGAGCCTGACAGAGTAGAGATATGAGCTCTCCCTACCACACGTTTCCACCTCCAGCACAACTGCCTCTAACTGCTGTTGGACTGTAGCTCCAAGTGGAATAGTCCACTTTTCCTGGTCTCCCAAAAGATAGGAAAGGGGTTATACTGTAATGCACAAAATTACTTCCTGCCATATAAGAGAGAAGTTGGATTATAGCAAATCCTTCCTGCTCACAGCCTTTGTATGTGGTGTAACCAAGTTTATTCACTCAGCCTTGGACCAGAGCCTCCAGATGTCCTTGGACAGAGGTGGAGAAAGGTCGGCATCTCTCTTATAGCTGGAGGATGGCGAATGTGGTCTTCATGCCATGTGGCCGTGTGCCTAGCTTCAGACCAGCAGTTCTGCTAGAGAATAAAGCAGAACAGAGATTGGGAGATGGTTAGCAGCCCCGAAACAGGGGCATCTCCCCTATACGGAGTAGGCAGATTATATACTGAATGGTATTGGGAATAAAGTGGCTGAGGAAAACTTTTAAATTGAAAGTATTAAATCAAACCATATAATATTAAAGAACATACAGGTATATCTGATTTTTAGATGGCAAATAATTTATATGCACAAAAGCAATGGAGCTCTTCCCCACACATACAAAAAAAAAAGACCCAATTTCTAAGAAAAGACAAGCCTGGAACCAAAATTGAAGAAATACAAATAGTCAGATAAACATATCTAAAAATATTCAATGTTGTTGGTAGTCAAAGAACTGTAAACTAAAATGAGATTATTTGGGACTATTGCTTATCAAATAATTTTGTCAAATTTATACTTGGTGCTGGAGTTTGATACTCTGCTGAATGAATTGGAAATTTTGGACAATTCTTTTGCAAAGAAATGTGATAATAATGTGGTGGACCTTTTAAAAACATGATAAATCTGGATATGCTGACAGTGGTTTATGTGTTTAAGTGTAATTTAAAAAAGCAAAAATAAAACAAGTATATGAATATTTAAGTAATATATGATATATACATATGATAGAATGCTATTTAGCTATTTGAAATATTTTAAAAGAATTATTACTGACCTAGGAACAAGAGAGAGTGTGCTTAATACCTCAAGACAGTTTCAAAAGTAGCCTTAAACATGTTTTGAACATTGACTGCACATGGGAATAAGTTTCTCACTTCCCAGAGGGAGAGAGCACATATCTGGTTCTCTGAGTTCCATGATGTTTGGAAAAAAAGTCAGCAGTGTTAGCTTACAGTCATGTCTCATTGCTAGTTTGAAAATATATTGATAATTATTGGAAAAGGAAATATGAACAAGCAGACTGAACTACATGTTTGGAAGAAAAACAGATTCTTTCCAAGTATGAGAACCAATAACATTCTAAACTCTTAAGCATAGTTTTAAGAGGATACCAAGTGTAGTTGTTCAGTGAGATTTAGAATTACTTAATTGGATTCTGCCATTGGTGAAAATATAAGTTTAAATGCATGGTTAGACATTGTGTTAATTGAGTGATCTTTTGAATTTAGATATTAAAAACTATATTTTCTGTACTTCTTGTCATCTGTTTCCAAAGACCATTTATTAAGAATAGAAAAGTGAATATTGTTCTGACAGACTTCCAACACATGGTTACATTATATTTCTTTCTTTTTTTTTTTTTAATGTAGTTGGTTATTCCAAATCACTGTCTGTATGTAATTTGTAGAATGATGTTCTGGTTCATGCTTAAGCAGCTATGTGAGCATTTTGGTTATGCAGCTATACTGCTGTGTTACATGCCTTAAGATCAAGGTTACTATCAGTGACAAGATATTAAGTACTAGTCTCTTTTTTGTGCTACTGCTTTTCATAGTCAGTGGGATTCAGATTGTGGAAGCTGTGCTATGTTTACCTGGAGTTTATTATCACCACTGTTCAATTATCTATTTGGGAAAAAATGCGGACTGATGCCACTTAGCATCCTCATCAGCATTTAGCCTTATTTTTTAAGTGCGTCCTTTTAAAATTTGTTTAAATAAGTCACTTTAATAAATTTCAACATATTGTATATTAATTGATAGTGTTTTCTCTAACATTTGGATTGCCCCATTTGTAGTTCAGTCTGTTAGGTATTCATATTGTCAGCTTTCCTTTGACTCAGGAAGTAAGTAAATCGCTTTTTCAGATGTAGAAGTTCCCTGTAGCACCTACTAGCTGTCCGTTTTGGGAGCTACCAACTCAAAATGTATTACTTCTTTTTATTTTTTTATTTTATTGTGTTTTAGATGAAATTTTTTACAGCACAAATTAGTTCTTCATTCAAAAATCTATACACAAATTGTTTTATGTCATTGGTTGCAGTCCCCACAATCTGTCAGTACTCTCCCCTTTCCCTTTCCATGCTGGGTTCTCTGTGTCCATTTGTCCAGTTTTCCAGAATGTGTTACTTCTTTCTTAATTTTTTGGCATCTTGAAAACTGCAAATGGAAGAGATCTTAAAGTAAAGCGTAAAGAGGAATGGTCCTGGTAGAATTTTCTTGGTTATAAAGGGTAAATTTATGACAATGTTGGACTCCTGTGCCCAGGACTTCAGGGAAGTCCCACACCTGATACATTTCTTTAGCAAAATATAGTCTTAGTTACAATCAGACTTCTTAAAAAATAACATACACTGTGGTATTTAAAAAGCACTGCTTAAATTGTTGGATAAATTACTTTTGAGACTCTTTAAATGGTTTTGCCTTTTGTTTTCCAGCTGGAAAATTATTCGTTGCACCTCTAATCCTGGTTTTGGGATTAGCACTAGGGGCCATAGCAGTTGTGATCGGTAAGAAATACTTAACATATCTGACATTAGAATTCTCTGAGTGCCATAGAGAATAGGAGCATAAATGTAATAATGTGATCAGTTATTAAGTAGACATGATTTCTGTTCCATGTTTGCTTTCAAAGAAGGGGCCCTGGCCTATTAGGAGGAAGATTGCATTTTAAATAGGCAGGCAGCATATGATTTACAAGTTCAGAGGAGCATGTTTCATATAGAATGTATTTGTGTAGCACTGTTTCAGTCTACAAATACACTGATTTACATCTTTTATAAAGTATTACTAACCACCCTTTTAGTTCCAAGGTTAATACAACTTGTATTATTGAAAGAGTCCAGTGGCCTAGAACCCAAATTTTCCAACTTTGGGTTCAGATTGGAGCATCAAAGAAAAGCAACTCTGGTGCATTCTTAGGTATTTGTTTTGGTCTGGTAAAAAAGATACATTTGATATGTATAGAACATATTTCAGTGAGCACTGAACATAGAAGATGTATCAATGATTAGTTTTATTTGCACAGGTATAGGGAAATATGTATTTTAAAAGCAGTGGTTCTCACACTCTAGCGTGCATTACAATCACCTGGAGGGTTGGTTAAAACAGATTGCTGGGCCCTACTCCCAGAGTTTCTGATTCAGTCGGTCTGGGGCAGGGCCCCTGGACTCGTATTTCTAAAATGTTCCCAGATAATGCTGATGCTACTGGTCTTGGGGCCACACTTTGAGAACAGTTGCTTTAGAGAATTATAAATTAAACGCTATAGATAAAGACTTCTTTGTTAATTTTTCTATGTAGTAGATGGATTTTTCTTGTTTTGTTTTTGCTAAATAAGAAGATTTTTCATATGTAAACTTCTATTTAGCAAATAATGCATATGCAGAACAGGTCGAATTACAAAGTAACTGACATTTAAGTTCTTGCAGTGAGTCAGGACTTTATGAGGTAGATATTATTATCTGTATTTTATAATTGAGGATATTAAGGCTTACTGGGACCTCATAAGTGGGAGAACTGGGAATGGAACCTGACATTTGACTCCACAGCACATGTTTTTACTGATATGCTGTACTGCCTAAAACTGTAGCGTGTACATCATAGTGTACAAATGATATGACTATGACTAATGAAGAAGTCTTAGACCTAAGGTTTGATATTGTGATAGAAAACAGTATTCCATATTCAAACTGGTATCACTGAGGTTGTTAAAAGTGGGAGAAGGGAGAGCTAAAGGGAAATAATAAAGAATGAAATCGTATAGAAGTAAACAAATTTTATAACATAGATGTCATTTTCATGAATTGCTAAATGATGATTATCAGTAGTTTGCAAATAACTCAAAATGGAGAATTTAAAATATATAAGCTAAATACTTCTCCTCTTAATTAGTTTTCATCTTTTTTTTTTTTTTAAACCCACAGGTTTATTTGTATTTCCTATCTATTGCCTTTGTAAAAAACAGAGAAAACGATCACGGACAGGTATGCACTGGTAAAACTCAGATGATTTCGTCTGAACTATGCTGGTCTGGGTAGGAGCTATGCAGAATGGTAAACCCATACGTGAGTCACATCTTGAAAATCACTGAGAGGAACCTTCTGCCATCTTGTCTCCCCATGGTTCTCTGCAGGCCACAATGCCTCTAGCTATGGTGCACTCCCAACATGGTATCCTGTCCCTTTCCCTATACAGATTGCTGCTTTTAAAGAAATGGTCACTTTCATAGACTATAAGCATCTGTATCATAACTTTGACCTTCTTCATCGTACTTTGAAGAAAATATTTTAATTAAGAACCAGTTTTCCTCAGAATTGTTCTGAGCACATCTCTCCTGAGCATTGCTTGGACTGTCTTTGAGCCCTGAACCTCCCTCCATGCCATCTTATGACACCTGGTGTGAATAGCTGAAGTCTCATCTGTACCAGTAAGCAAGGCCACTTTTCCGAAGATGAAGGTTCGCCATATGCTGTTTTCATCTGTGGCCCAAGCAGTAGAATTCATTCATCCTTCAGATGCTATAATTGCTAAAGATCTCAATGCCCGAAAGGGAACTAATGAGACTAAATTAATGAGAAGAATCATGAGTTGCTGAATATATGCTGTATATATGTATAGGGGTGTGAATGTGTGTATATATAAATATCTATGTTAAAACTAGGCCAATAACTTTGTACTTGGCTAGTTCCATGCCTCTACACTATTTTTCACATTTTAATAGAGCTATTTAAAGATGATGGTTCCTTTGTGGGCATAGTTTGGTAATGTACTGAATTAAAGTCAATGTACACAACAGGCTATTTTGATGTTGGCCCTTTCTATTTCTTGTTCTCTCTTTTTGCCACACACACACACACACACACACACACACACGAATTTGTGCAGTGTCACCCAACGATTATCAAACTTTGTATACTGGCAAAACTGATAGGCTGCTTTTAGGAAATTCTAAAGACCTGAGCATTTGAGCTTTTCAGATTTCTTATGTATTGGCATGCATGCTTCACTTTATGAATAAATCCTTCTGGTAGAATTAGTTAATCCAAAGAGCAAGTTTGGTATAAGGAGAACTGCTTAAGTCTTCAAACAAATCCCTACTCTGCTAAAATTTTTGTCAAGTTGTAATTACAGATAATTCTGCTTTAGGTCAACATTTTACATTATTTAATACCTACCCTCTTCTCTCTCCTTCTGTCTCTTTCTCTCCCTTTTTTATTTGTCCTGGAGTTTTTTCATAAAAGTAAATACTACTTTTGAAGGACTTTTCTATGTTTACTGCTCAAATGCAGTATGTTCTATGGGGAGGTAACTTGAAAACAAAAGTTTTTGTGTTCATGGGTATATCTAATATATAAACTGCTTTTGGAGAAGGAAACAAAAAAATGAAGGAAATATTTTTGAGAAGTTTTTCAAAGCTGAGAAGTCTTTTAAAAAAAAAAGAAAAGGTCAAGTATTTAAACTGATATTCCTTTGTTTTCGTCATGAAATTTCGTCAGCAGAAAAGAAGAAAATACCCTTAAAAAGCTTGAAGTTTCCAGTTGTCTCCAAATCCTTAAAATTAGCTATCTGCCATAGATGTAGCATTTATTTGTCAGCACCCTGGTCCGACTTGAAATAGGTTATGTGATAAAACATGCATTAACATGGATAGTTTGTCTTTGTTGGGCTCTGGAGTATAAGAACATTTGTCATTTTTGTTTGACCTAAAAAGTCTGTAATAATGAAGTTTGCTTGCATAGATAACAAGCCAACAAGCTTCCATTTTTCTGAATAATAATTGGAATAGTTATACTACAGCTTCTGGACTAGTTGCCTATTTCCAGTTAAAGAAGGGTGTGCCATTTATAGTTCTGGAATAGTACATTTTAAAAATACAGCATAATATAAGAAAATGTGATGCTCTGGTTTTACAAATTCATCTTTGCATTCCTTCATTCATCTATCCATCCATCTGTCCATCTAACAAATATTTATTGAGTGACTCTTCTAGGTACTCTAGTATAAAGACTGAATGAGACTTGTATTTCTATCGTAAAGTACTTAATTTTTATAAATATGTCTTTCCTGGACTTAGGCCTTAGTTTGGTGATATGTGAATATAATCAATTCTAGATTGAGTGAATACGTATATGTATGTTATACATATGTATGTATAGAAAATATTTCCATAACTGCATATGAATATATGTGCCACATACATATATACCAACTGGTTGAATAATGTGCTCTCTGGTCTAGATAATCTATTTTCTTAGGTTATTGTATCTGTTGTCTTTGGCCTACTCAGGGATTTTTATTCCTTTCTTTAAATAATTTATCTTTTGGAGGTATTTTTATATTATTTAGAAAACTTCCCAATATTTTTATTACAAAGTGGTATCTGTTATCAAACAGTGAAGGCTTTCCTTTCAATGCTTGAGATAGTGTGCATTGTGATGCACAGGTCTTTCATTTTTCTATTGCATAGATTTTTTTTAATTAATGTATTTTTCTTTTTACAAGTAGACATATATTTGGTCTTTCCCTGCTGATGGGTTAAAATAATTATTTGCTAGGTTTTTTTTACTAAACTTCATCAAAATCTTAAAAAGAAGAAAATAAAACAGATTATTTATATGTTAGTGCCAACATTGAAGGTAAACTATAATAGTAACGTTTGGAGTAAATTCTGAAAACTGCTTTAGGAAAAGATGCATGCACAGAAAATAATGTCTTTCTATCCAAAGCTTGTTACTTTGTATATGTTTTTATTCTATCTAAATTTAGTACATACACCTTTAAAAACATCAAACCATAGAATTATAAAATACATATTCTTCTGCCTATCCCACCCCTTATTTGCTAGGGGTAACCACTGTTCATGGTTTGGTGTATGTCCTTCCAGACATTCTGTACAAATATACACATATTGTATGTATGTGTATATGTCTGAGTGTGTATTAGTTTTATACAGATAGAATAATAATATTCTTACTGTCCTGTGACTTATTGTTCATTTTATCGTATATCAGTGGACACCTTTCCATAAGAGTGTAAATAGAATTACCTCATTCTTTTGTAAATTACTGCATATTGCCTTGTTAGGTTGCACCTTTATTTAATTAGTCCCTTATTGAATGAACGGTGAGTTTTTTTCACTTCTCTGTTACAAACAAAGCTTCAGTGAAGATCCTTTTACAGATATTTTTGTGCTCTTGAGTGAACATTTCCACAGATTTTTAAATTTGGTTTTTATAAGATTTTATAACAAAATTTTTAATGCATTTTCAGTGAGTGAGTTCACAGAAATAATGTAATTGAGATCCTTCTCTTGGAGGAAAAAAAAGATTATATAGAAATGCGTAATTTTTAAAGAAAAGTCTCTTTCGCAGGATAATTTTCCCCGTTTGACTAGCCAAAAAAACTCCTTGCCAAAATTATAAAATAAAGTTAATGTTTCCAATAAAAATAAAATGTTATGAGATGTCTATAATGATGTGAGAAATATACATTGATTTTTAGATTGCTTAGTTTTAAAACTTGGGGAATTTAAATGAAATAGTCAAGCCAAAAGATGATGTTTGTCACATTTTTAAGACACTATCCATGTTCATGCATGTTGCTCCACCAAGGAACTTAACTATGCCAGTGAGCAGCGTAGGAAGCAGTATGTTGGCAATTACGAATACTCATAATTATCCATAGAAAATTAAATTGAACTGTAGGTAAGGCTTGGTGTTTTGTTGGAGTATTTAAAAATGCAGAATAATGGGAAACATTTATTTTACAGTGAAAATTTCCTAGGAATTTGTCTATGAAGTACTAAGAAGAGGAGAGGGAACACACCTTTCACAAGCAAAATCTTCTTGTCACCACAGGTTGATTTCCTGATAGATGCTATTGTATCCTACTAGAATAGACAGGTAAACAGTCAAAGATAATTAAATACCAGTCAGGTTACAACATGCTAGCTTTCATTGTACTTTCTCTGCTTTGGTATCAGGATTCAGTGGTACCTGTTAGGAAATTCTCAGTCCTGTGCCACCCACCATCTCTCAAGTCCCAAGATCCCAGGTGAGCCTTTATCTTCCAATCCCACTATCCAAATATATATCCCCTATTCCAGTGGGCCAGAGCCCTGGTGGCACAGTGGTTAAGAGCTATGGCTGCTAACCAGAAAGATCAGCAGTTCGAATCCACCAACCACTCCTTGGAAACCCTGTGGGCAGTTCTACTCTGCCCTGTAGCATCACTGCGAGTCAGAATCGACTCGACAGCTGTGAGTTTTTTTTTTTATTCTGGCTCAACAGCAATGAGTTGTTTTTTGTTTTGTTTTAATTCCAGTAGGCCAAAAATACCTACAAAGCACTGTAATCTTTTTCAGCTCCTGATGACCTTTCCCAACCTCATTTTTCTCCACCCCTCTGCTACTCTAGCTCCTCCTCACTAAAACAGAGGAAGAGAGACAGGAAGGGGTGAAAAACTCACTCTGGCATATGCAAAGCATCAGCATTCCTTCCTGACCATTGTCAAATTAGAGTACATCTGCCAAGTCATCAATCTGGCTTCTCCCTTGTGAAACAAACACAGTTGTTTCTACTTTAAACTTTTCATCCTGCCTGTTAAATTTATAAATATAAAAAGTTAGTGGCCTAAATCACATTAATTGATATACTGTATTTAGTTCAAAAATAAGAAAATTCATACCAAAAGCTAATTTTAGATTTTAGTTTTACAATAAAACTTGTGAAGTCAGGAACCTGTGTAAGGCAGAAACCTGTCAGAAAAGGAAAACTCAATTATTGTCCATTAATAGAGAGCAATAGAAAAGTGGTAAAACTGTGCCCTGTCAAAGGCAGAAAACTTGCGAGACCCAGAAAAACAAGGCAGTCTTGTCAAGTTCCGGCTCTCACAGGTTTCACTGTATAAGCAAGCTGCACGTATGCCTTAATGTGCGTCTTCACATTCGATTGTGTGCTTATCTTTTCATATTTGTGGTTAAAATATATCCCAACTATTTCAGGTAAATTTTCCCGTGGTCAACTTCATTTTTTTGTATTAATGTCTATTATAGATACAGCCTTAAAATTCAATAACGCACTTTAAAATATTTGTGCCATTTAAATAATCTGTTGACAAAGTTAAGACAACTGAAATATGTATATTTCAATGGAGAAAATAGAATAACGATGTTATCAAATATGTGTCACTTCTTTAAATTTGGGGGGAATCGGAAACTAAAAATTTAAATGAACAAAACATTCCTAAAAATATATCGCAGAGTTTCTGAAATTTTAGTAATCCTGGAGATTGGTATCAGGGGCTCAAACATAGCAAATACTGTTTCATAAATGTTACCTAATAACCTAGTTGGGATATTTGTTTCAAATCTTAAGTTAGTTTCTACTGAAAGTTTTAACTGCATTTTCACATTTCACAAAACCTACAGAAGTATTCCTAACTAGAAAGATGGTAAATCAAAACTGCTACCAAGCCAGTATGAACATATTTTGTTTGCTCAAGTCATTGTAATTTAATTATGATATTTCTCTCCTACTATAGAAAATAATTTCCAAAAATCACATTTTTAGTATAAATATCCACAGTTATTACTTTGATAAATCTGAAATAATTTGATAGAAGCAGTAAAGTATGGTCTGAACAAAATCACAGAGTTCCAAAATCTGGGGAGTATTCAAGATTGTGAAGTGTTTCCTTTTGCATGAAAATCAGTAATACAGACCTTTAAGAGAGAAATGAAGTGGAACCCCTTTGTGACTACCATTTTGAGGCTAGAACTAATGGTCATTTCATAGCCAACTACCATGTGTGGAGCTTCTGTTGTACATCACTGTCATGATGCTGGGAATTTACTTGATTTCATCCAAATCTATGTAACAGAGAGTCACAATAAAGTGAGACTTTTGTAATTGTCTGTTTGAAAGGTTAGCTAAAGCCTTAATATATCATATACCTTATAGATCCCCATACATGTTGCCAATTTTAGAAACGTAATTTTTGTTACAAACTGTATTCTTTTTTTAGCTAAAGAAGTGACTGTTTTGAGAATAGCAACATGGATTTAAAAGGCAATAAATTATTTTTTAAAATACGCAAAACATTGCTGCTGCCTTTTTTGGCACTTCCTTTTTTCTTCTAAAAGACATTTTAATAGGTGTATTTAACTCTGTGTCACTTAGATTGTGCAGATTTATTAGCATAGAAAATACTTTTCTTTTTCAGTTCTATGCCACATTTTTGTCACCCTTCTCCATCATTAATATTTAAATGTCTTTCCTACCTTGTGAAGTGATATCCACGTTCTTCAACATTAATCTGTGTTTTCTCTCAGATTTCCTGGTTTTCTTTCTTTTTGCCTCCCCAGGCCCCTTCCTATCTTGGTCAAGCGTGGAATAAATTCTCTCTTTCTGATTCTAATGATACGAAATTCAAACACTGAAAGGATGCCATTATTTAGCTCTGGGAATGAGCATAATTTACTTGGCTTATCTTACCTGTAAATTGAAAGACATCAGGAGTGCCTGGAACACTTCTCCTTGTCCTTGATAGGTGTTGGAGAACCCTGCCTAGCCCTCCGATAAGAAGTTAAATGAATGTGAAGATGTCAGCTGAATCAGAGGGCCTAATAATACTCTAAAACTAAGTTTCAGAAATTGCTTCATTACATTATAAAGTCAATAGTGTTTACTCGTTAGTTGAACAGAAAGAACTTACGGACATTCATCCAAATTGACCTCAGGTCATTCATAATTCATCTGGAGTGGCCAAATAATATGGTTTATGGCCTTTATTTCAGCAAAAAGTCCTACAGCTTAGACTTGGGGATAGGTTTATATAGTGTAGCATTTGTATATAAAACTCAGCCATAGATCATACTCTTAGAACATTTTAGACTTTTTTGATTATCTATAGTAGATCGCATTGAATGTAACTGATATTAGGCCTATTCTTGAGAAACCATTTTTCATCTGCAAATGTTTAACTTGTTCATTGATATGATTTAGATACAAACCACATTCAAACTAGTAAACAAAAGATATATTTAGCATAGTATACGACACAGAAAAGGTCAAAGGAATGTCAAACTTGGTTGTTAAAGGGCCCGAGAAATTGCTGAAATAATGTCATTTCAAGTTCTCACCTGTGGCTTGCAAGCTGTGCTGTCTGTCCGTCATTGGTTTTTGCAAATTTGTGAGATATTTGCATCATACCCCAGCTTGGGAAATATTCTCAGTCATCCAACCAAATCCTAAAAGTGAATTTTTTGTTAACATATTACTCCCTTTATGTCCAAATACAGTTTTTTTTTTGTTTCTTTTAAGTAAATGCTGTCTAAATCTTTGATATAAATATCTAAATTTCTTTTTCAGTCTATAGAAAAGTAGCATTCTTTGTTCCTTTATAAAGAAAATTTTAGATATAAGTATCATGATTTTTTATCAGTTGACTACAAGCCCTTTTTCTTACCCACTTCAAAGACATAATTTGTTTAAAGTTCCGTATGGCAACCCCTCAATAGCTTACTTATGATAATTTGATCATTTTCAGCATAATAGTATTGAACTGATACTTAAAAAAAGTAGAGCAACCTTATATTTCATATGGAACCTAGAAATGTTGATAGGTTTATAGATTACCATTTACCAATTATTAATATGTAATACATAGTAAATTCTGAGACATTACAGAAAATAATTTTGTGTAAAAGGAACATAAAAACAGCTGCATTAAAATGTTGTTAAATTATCGTAACACATTATTAAGAAACCACAACAGTTAGTTGCTTATATTTTAAGCAAAATTAGTTATAAGACACTTCCATGAAATAGATATATTTACATCTATGTATACCTACTACAAAACTGTGGGCCATTAAATTATTTCTATTCTTTTTCCTCAAAGAATATAAAATGCTAAAAAGAAAAATTCCTGGCTGTTTAATCTGTGATTGCTGTATATCCAGAAATTACAACTGCAAGGAATAATTGTCATCTCCTATTTGAATTATCAGAATATATCTCATTTTAATTATATTCTCATGAAAAATAGCAAATGCAGAGCAATTTCTTAATTATAAAATGAATGTTTTTCACCAGTAGTTTGTACCAGATCTTGTTCATTGTGTCGTTGTATTGCATGTTTTTAGTTTTCTGTAAAATGTGTAGCCATTTTCCAAATAATATGTCATAATATTTGTCATGTTTAAAATGAGCCTAGTTGAAAAGACTATTTTCTTTACTTTTTCAATGATATTCAGAAATATTTATGCAATTTTATTTTTTAACTTTTTCTATATTTTATAGTAACATTATTAACTTTGGTATCCAGAAAACTATATGGAGGAAACCATTATGAATACATTTTGAGAAAGAGGCAGGTAGAAATAAATTAAAAAGTAGACAATATTAATATTCTTATGTAGAATTCCCTGGAAATGAGTAGGAAAGGAAAAAACAAATTCTGCTGAGATGAAAATATTGGAAAATAAGGAATATTTAAGACCTTAATTTCTTAGATTGTTAAAAGTAATCAGCCTCTTATTCCCAACTGACAATTTCATGCTGTTGTTTCAGTGAATTGTGCTTTTAGCATAGTATATATGTTCCCCTATCATTTTGTATGTAAACATTACTGAAAAGAATGGAAGAAATTATTGAATAAAATCCAGAGAAACTAAGTTCATTCTCATTTTCCAATAGCACTAATGTATAGTCCCCTTAGCCTTCCATATACCGCTTTGTGTGATGAGAGTATTTAACATTTATATATGTTATTAGTGCCTTATTTTTTTCACTTGATTTTATTCCTTATCTAAAGAGCCATATATTTTTTGTGAGTGTTCTCTGGTCCCTCTATTTAAATGCTAATGAAACAGTATATCTTTAGGGATGTATGTAGACTGCATTTGCTTCCTTAATCCACTGTATTATCTCTAGAACATCAGGTTAACCAATGTTTGTTTTCTTAAATTCACTTTTCATTTTAAGTTAATGTATAAAAAAAAGGATACTACACACCAGAAAATGAAGCCATTTTCATCAAAATTTATTTCAAAACTGCAAAAAGGATGCTGATTATTACAGTTTAAAGCAACAGTTGAAATGGCTATCAGTCTTTATAGCTCCAGTTAGAACCGAATTACTTTACAAACAAGCATTGAAAATAAAAGTAACTATATGATACTTCAGGAATTTGACCAATTCCCTGCAACTTGTCTTTGGCAGTGTTTTATTCATAATATACTTCCACATAGATGCTGGAATGATGTTTGCTATTTACATGTTGTTATTCATTCACAGTGGGCTTTATCGACATCAAGCCATTTTGTACAATTTATTATTATGCTCTTCTTGGTCAGTGCCTTTTGTTTTAGCTTTATACAAAATACTGATTTTGTTGTATTCTTTATGTACCATAGTATATAATTCAACTTTTCCTGATGAATGTATGATGAATAATTAAACCATGTGCTTAGAAAAGACAAAGACACAGGTTGTATATGCAAATATGTATAAATATTTGACAAAAAGAAAAAGAATCCTGCCAACAGATATGTCCTGCTGGACAGGACCTGGAAATTAACCGATTTTTTAAGCAGTGAACTTTAAAAATCTATTACCTCAGAATTGTCAGTGGATGTGTCAGTGTACTGCTGCTTAGAAAATGCAGTCTCACTTGCTGCTGGCAGTAAAAGCAACCCAGATGTTAGAACACGATTTTAGGGACATGCCTTGCAAAAGGTGGGTACCTTGTGATATTTTGGAGTCTAATTTTGGACTTTTAATAATGTCCCTATGGCCTTTTTTTGTCTGTGTGGTTGGGCTTTTTTAATTGTTTTTGGTTGGTTGGTTGTTTTAGAATGGAAGTGGAGTCTTAATTATGAAATAAGATCTCACTTGGATAAAAACTGTAATGGGAATCAAACTATTTTGATTGTCACTGTATGAACCATTTTATTATATGGATTACTGTGGTGTGCTGTTTACTCACATGATGTATTCAATACATCATGCAATGTTATCTAGCAATGCCTAATAAAAGTTTTAAAAAGAGAAGTCTGTTGTCTTTTTTCCAACAGCTTTGGAGTAGCAGGGATGAAAAGAAATTCACTTCACAGTTGTGCTTCTTGGAAGGTGGAATGTGATGGGTTGCTGTGGCATGTTTTGGAAAAAGCACAGAATAGGGACCATGAATCCAAACATTTTGCATGGGCCTGATAGAGACATTGGGTAAATACTGTGGAAGTGGAAGGTTAACTTAGGGTGGTGATTGTTGCCTAGACAAAGCAGACTGGATTGGGGTCGGGAAAGTGGAAACCACTAAAAATAACTTGAGTCATCTTCTGGTCACAGAGGGAGTAGCTTACTCTTTCACTCCAGGAATATGATGGCCCAGATGATAATGTTGCTGTAGGACACTTTTTTTTTTTTTTATTGTACTTCAGGTGAAGGCTTACAGAACAAATATTTTCTCATGAAACAGTAGTACACATATTGTTTTATGACATTGGTTAACA